CAACTGAATCTACCAATCACTATATACAAGGAAATGATGTTGCATAGAGTTAGAAAGCTTGCTCTTTAAAAGTATTTGATGTTTAATTTTAAAATAAAATATTGTCATTTTAGTTCCCTGAACAGTTTAAAGCCAATAATACATGCTTAATAAATATTTCCTGATTAATATAGCAAATATTCTTATAACAAGAAATTAAAAATAGCAAAGTAAGACTATACCTAATGTATTTTTTAAAATGCTTTATTGGAACAATTGATCAAAAAGTTTTTTTCAGCACTCCAAATTCATTGTCTTTAGCCTTTGCTGTTAACTGTGCATTTTGACAATTTTCTGCCATTTTTATCTCCATCACAATCCAATGAATTGAAAAGAGCAGGTAATTTAACTCCCAGGTTTGAAAATGAGAAGCTAAATTTTAGATTAAATGACTTGCCTGGGTTGCATAGCTAATCAGAGGAGAAGCTGAGACAAAAATTCACTTCTTGTTGTCAGAACAAAACTGAGCAAGTTAGGTAGCTCATTCATTGTTCCCACATATTATACTTAAATTTAACTTCCATGTGAAGAAACATATGTAGACATTTGCCCCAAGTAATTCAGAAGTTAAGGTGAATTTCTGTTCAGTTTTTTTCTTACTCAGAGTAATATGTAAAAACTGTGTAGTTGAGGAAAGTTTTGAAAGACAGGAAAAATGTAAGATGGTAGAACGTTTAGTTATTCAAATCAGAGTCTACTTGCTGGCACTTTATTTATGGAAAATAGTCACTTATCGTTTATTGTCAGGAGGCTTTCCATCATAATATTTAACAAATGGTAAACACTTCAGAACTTTATAATAAAAAACACTTGCCTTCCTAGACTTGCTTAATGAGTAGTCTAGCCTGTCTCTTGTGACTGTCAAACTTACATAATTGAGCTTTGCTGGCCTCATACTATTGTTATGGCATGACACGTTGTATGCACACTCTGTTGTTATAAACATTAAACAGATTTGTCAACAAGTGGTGGCAAAAGAATTATAATTCAGCCTCTCGTGAGTTTCATTATGTGGAGGAGGAAAAATTGGATGGTTTACTCCCTGTTGATTGACACATAGAATAACTCTGCGCCCGGCTCAGTGCCTCTCATTAAACCAAAACAAAGCATACAGCAACAGGGGTACGATTCTGTATCTGTCAGTAAGAATTTATTCACTCTGTATACTTTGGGTTAATTTTCAGCTCAAATATAGTTATTTAAAAGTTAATAAATATAATAGTGATCTGAGATATTCTGAGCCAAAAAGTTTATGTGGCAAGAATCATATTAGCTAGTTTTTTTTGCAATATATTTTGTTAAATGAATGGAATTTTTAAAATTTTATTTGTAATTTTGATTTTCACACAGTATTATAATTTCTTGAATACTTACATATAGCCTCAATGGGACCCTAAATATTTATTTTAAAACAAATTAGGAAAAAATGCAATAGAATTTCTTTCCAAATCATACCAAGTGAGCATGTTTTTGAAACTTTTTGTTTTCCTACAAGGGAGGGAGAGTGGCAGGGTAATAGAAATAGAATAATTAGTTGATCATGTGACTGCACCAAGTATACCTTATAACCAAAGATATATGAGCTGTAGAGTACAAAAACAAACAACCCCCTACATCTCTAAGAAAACATACCCCTCCCCCCAATTTAGTTTTAAGTCCAAAGTTATTTTTAAAGAATTTATTATCATTATTTTAATGTAATGGTATCTGCCTTGGATGTTTTCAAAAGCATTTAAAATTTTTTTCCAAATTGTGTTAGGGAACACTGGTAATTAGGTTTGACTATAATAGTCTTCAGCTTATTTGTCATTCACTATATTGGATAAAGAAAAAAAGTATTTGGGAACTTCTTAAATTTTCTAATGTTCTTTTGGATTACAAAATCTTAGTGAGGTGAGTATTGCATACTTAGTGAATCATTCTGTACCAGCTAGAAAGACAGATGGGTATTGTGCAGTTTAAAAATCTGTGCAAATAGGAGGACAGATGGATGGTTTAAATGTTTTAAATGCCTCCATGAAAATGTTTCTGTGGAGAGTGTGACTCCTGAAGTTATATGCTAAAAAATTCAAGTCATAATTAGGAATAATAGAGTTTATATAAAAGTAATATTTTTGAAAAAGAAACATAAAATGTGGAATTCATTGAATTCACTAGTTATACTTTTAAAACTTATAATAAAATTTAATGAATTAGAACACAATACTGAAATATTCTTTCATGGTATATGTTTGCTTTGTTTTCTTATGAACATTTGGACTCTAGAAAACTTATTATTTAGAATCAATGTATTTGCATAAGTGCAATGATCTTTTGAACTGTCTTTTGCCAGNCGTAAATCAGATCATGCCATTCTTTTGCTAAAACCTGTGGTTTCCCTTTGCACTCAAAACAGCATCCAGTGCTCGCTTCGGCAGCACATATACTAAAATTGGAACCATGCAGACAAGGTTAGCATGTCCCCTGTGGAAGGATGACACCCAAATTCTTGAAGTGTTCCATATCAAAAAACACACACACACAAAAACCACCCTAAAGAAAAGGACCTTAGAAAGTGCTTTGACAGCTTCTGTAGTAGGTGTTCAGGGACTTTCACTCTTTTTCAGGCATTAATGTGACTTAGCTCCCAGCCAAAGGGCTGTTTTCTTTTTGGTCAGCTATGTACTTTGGATCTTGGGTGTCAGCTTCATATAGAAATCTCCTCCTGACTTGTGTGGGTAGAGAAAAATGGGTTGTCATTTTCAAGGAAGGCTGCCGGGACTGGCCATAGATGTTAACAATGGCACTGACTCTTTTTTGAAATGCATTTCTGCAGGAAGGATGCTAAGTAGCAATGTTTGTGGGCAAATATAGTTTTCTATGGCAAACCTATTATAGTAACTGAACCAACAGCGAAAGGTGTTCCTGAGGATGTTAAAAGTTATTTGTGATTAGTATTATTGAAGTGATTTATTAATTGCTAAATTAAAAAAATTATCCCTAGTGTAATGTAGAGTGAGTTAAAACTTCCCTTGCAATTTATATTAACTGAAGCAAAAAAATTTATTGGCTTCTGAATGAACATTAAAAAAAATTTCAAAATTATCATATAATAGAAATTAAAGAATTACAAAGCATTCTTTATATAGTAAGGAGAATAATTATTTCATGAATTTTTATTTCAGTTATATATTTTAAAATTTGTATGATTATTTACTGGTCAATGAAATAAAATATATTATCCAAATACATTATCATGAGGGTTGTTCATAGCCCCAAAGTGAGAAAACCCACTTCTTTAGTGGATAATATTATTTTTTCTGATTCCTTCAGATAGAACTATATTAATATGTTTGCTCCTACCCTCTCACTTCAGTGTTAGAACATCTTTCCAGTCAGCAATGAGAGAGGTTAGGAAAAATACCCTGGTGAGTAGATTATTTTCTAATCAAGAAGTTATGTCATAAAGTTAAATAGGTTATCTAGGGCAACATTTTATGAATAACTTGAACGGTTATTAATATCACCATGTGCAGGAGCCAGCTAATGGAATATGGCTAGAGATTCATGCTCTGTAAATAATTACGTCCTGCTTCCTAGGAGAAGTGAGTGGTGGCTCAAGGACTTGGAACACTAGAATTTGTTGATAGGAGACATGCAGGTCTGCTAGATAGGTTTGTTTCCCTTTGCACCAGCTGGATGTAGTTACCGTGCTTCAGAATTAGAGGGGTTATGAGAAAATCAAGGGAATTCTTCTGTTGTTCTGCCTGGGCATGGTTTAGGGATCCGAGGTTTCCTCTCTCTGCAAAAACCCTGAGTTTTTCTCTGCTTTTGGCTCTGAGCTGGAGATATTCTCCAACAGGGAATATTTTTCTGATCCCCATCCATATGAACACTCAGATAGGTGCTGAGCCTAAACAGAATGGCAGCAGAGGAGAGTCTCTGGCATTGGAAATTCTGAACATAAGATCTATTTTGGGGAGAGGATTCATTTGGAGAACTCTCCTTGGAAAGAGGGCAAAAATGAATAAATATTTTGAAAAGTTTATTATCTAAATGTAAGTAATTGGTGAGAGATACATGTTTGGTTTACATCAAAATTAAAGATCCACTTAAAAATTGTATTTATTTATGTAGTCATTTATTCATATTGTCAATCTGTAAATATTTTCTGAAATTTCAGTAGAGGAACCACAAAAAGTTTTAGTTTATATCATATCAAGTCTTAATTTCCCTGCATGATTTTCAAGTTATTCACAACCTAAAATTGCCTTACTTATACAAACATAATTTCTTCATTTCTGCAAAATTTGCTCTCTTTGAGCTTATTTTTTTTCCTTACCTATGTATCATTACTTATTCTTTCTGTGTTTTCATAGACCATGGCCTTTATGTCAAGGACTCTGCTTTGCCAAGTACTGAATTCCCAGTGTTTAGCACAATTCCTGTTGGCGATCAGTTAATAATATTCATTGAATGAAAGCGAAGAAGAAAGGGAGAGAGGGTGAGGGAGGAACTATCATCTATTCTCTCTTTCTATACCTTTCCAGACTTGCCTCATCTCTTAAGGTCTGTTTTCTCCACAAAGTATCCTTTGACTTCTCTTGTCTTTGTTGGTGTCTCAAACATAGACCTCAAAATTTAACATTATTTACAAAGTTTCTTGTTTTCTTGGTGATATAATTTTATGTGCACTGTTCCAATTTGGTGTAAACTGCTTGAACTTGAGAAGGATCATATATCTGTATAATTTTACAAAGAAATTGTACATTATCCTGCCTCCTTCAGAGCAGCCTCTGTACAAAGTATTGGCAAATAAATAGTACTTTGCATAGAGCTAAGCGCATAGTATATGTTCACAAACTTTTGATTATCCATAGAATGTGTGAAATAACATAAAATAGTGGTGACTCAGTTTGCACACAGAGAAGATAAAACTTTTTTATTATTTCTTTTATAACTGTCTCCAATGATTTCTTCAGGGAAAGAAACTGAAAAGGCCAAGGAACGTTATGACAAAGCCACAATGAAACTTCATATGTTGCATAATCAGTATGTATTAGCATTGAAAGGGGCACAGCTTCATCAGAATCAGTATTATGATATCACACTTCCTCTGCTTCTGGACTCCTTGCAAAAGATGCAAGAAGAAATGATAAAAGCACTGTAAGTTACATTTCATATTTGACATTAAATCTCGTCATAAAGTGATTTTAACATTATTATTATTATTTTTTATAACTTTATTGATTTCAGAGAGAGGAAAGGAGAGGGAAAGAAAGAGATAGAAACATCAATGATGAGAGAGTCGTCATTGATGGGCTGCCTCCTGCACGCCCCTGACTGGGGATCAAGCCCGCAACCTGGGCATGTGCCCTGACAAGGAATTGAACCCTGATCGCCTGGATCCTAGGTTGATGCTCAACCGCTGAGCCATGCCCGGCCGGGCTCACATTATTTTCTCTCCTACTTAAGCTTTTGTATAAAAGTTGTCTATGTTTTGTAAGTTTCCTTATTGACCCAGAATAGTGGGTGTTTCAGACCTGTTTTACCTTGATTCTTCTTGATTTTCACTTCTAGCATCCCTTTAGTATATACTTACCTCCTAAACCTTCTAGCTAGCCCCAAGAATTTCTCTTCTTTTTGTATGTTTTTGTTTTGCCCCAATTAACTGGAAATTTATATGAAAATATTCATTAGTTGACAAATGTTAAGAAGTGGATATGTCTCCACAGGGTTAGAAATTTAAAATTTGAGCAACAGAAAAACCTGGAGGAAATAAGTTTTTGAAGTTTTATTTGTCATATGAGATTGTCGTATGAGATTAAAATCAAATATTTATTAAAATTCTACTATATGCAAAGCACATTGAATAAAGAGATGAGTAGGCCACAATTTTTGCCTTCAAGGAGCTAACAGAATATTTGGGTTAAATGAACACATGTGTACCATACATATCGATTCAAGACAACAGAAAGATAAGCCACCTTTTGGTAGACTTCATCTCCCTTATTAGCTGGGTTAGGTGGTCCCTCATTTTCCCAAGAAGATAAAGTGTTTTTCAGTCAACTTAAATATGTAAACTTTTAAGGTTGTTGATAAAATAGTGAAATTTCTACTTAAAATATTTAATTTATAAATTTAGTTGTATCTACTTTAAATTACATATCATTGATTCAGAAATATTTATTTTCCTATTCTCCATTTAATAAATCAATATTTTTCAAACTGTTCACATGAATCTTCAATAATATTATCTTTATCATCACTAGAACATCTTTTTGAGGCATGTAATGGTTTCCCACAGCATGTTATCTTTACTTTCTAAGAAATTATTTCAGATCTAGCATTTAAAAAATCCAAGTATGATGATGTCACTGAAATTGAACCCCATGTCACAAGTACTCATTGATATAACCTTAGGAGACTTCATCATCTCTATCCCCCCATTTGTCTTGAAGGAGAATATTAATGATCTCCACATCATAACGACTTACTATACTGCTTTACAAGTTATCTAGATAGGCTTATTTACATTTGTATCTTTCAGTACTTTGAATTATTAGTTTATAACCCCAGTGTTAGTTACTGAATCCCCATTAAATTTCTCTGTCTCCCCCCTTTTAAAAAATTGTGTCTGTCTGGTGAGTTTTATAAGCATTTCAAACTATCATTGCTTGCAGCAGTTTAAATCTAATTTTTTTAACCAAGCATTATTTTGCTATTTAAAATAAAGTAATTGAGAGAAAACTTCATAATAGGGTAAATTTTGTAATGATTTTAGAAAAGAAAAAGAATAACTTACATTTATTTGGGTATGTGCAGGTTAAGCTTGTCTGTCAACACTTGTTGCTGAGGCCAGTAACGACAAATGGTATAGCATTCTCAAGTTGGGATCAGACCTTTGCGACAGAATAGTTTTTCCTTTTGCATTTATTAGGTATGCTAAAACAATTTATAACATTTTTGATACTGAGTGGAGGCCAGGAGAAGAGACCTAGGTGTCGTTGAAGGTAGAAGATCAGAGGCCCAGCAGCAAGAGAAGAACCAAGTGGCAGGGGTTGTGAGGAAGTTGCAGACACTAGAAAGAAACATTAAAGAGACAGTTGTGGATCCACTATTCCATGTTATGGAATCCAGCATTTCTATGATAATGTTGAGAAACAGAAAGTGATCAACCTTGATCTTACATGTAGACACCTCAAATACAAGTTGGAAAAGGTAATGCCTTATTCTAGATCATTTGCAGTTATTATATTTTATCAAATGTAAGTTGCTAATCTGTACATTTGTGTAATCCCATCACTTTATTGTCCAGGTATATGAAAAAAGATGGTACATAAAACTACCATCTGGCCCCGGCCGGTGTGGCTCAGTTGGTTGAGCATTGTTCCATGCACCGAAAGGTTGTCAGGGCACATGCCCAGGTTGCTCGGTTAATCCCTGGTCGGGGGTGTGCAGGAGGCAGCTGATTGAAGTTTCTTTCTCACATCGATTTTTCTCTCGCTTTTTTCCTTCCTCTCTCTCTAAAATCAATGAAAACATTTAAAAACAACAACAAAAAATACCATCTGTAAATATTGATATTACAATTCTTATGTTTATTGTTCTGAGTCCTTTTTGGTTCTGTGTCTTCTTGGTAAACTTTAAAATGATGTACAATTTTATTTTTGTTTTCAGAAAAGGCATATTTGATGAATACAGCCAGATAACTAGTCTTGTTACAGAGGAAATAGTGAATGTCCATAAAGAGATTGAAATGTCGGTTGAGCAGATAGATCCTAGCACAGAATACAATAATTTTATAGATGTTCACAGGTATGTATGATATTTTCATTCTTCTTTCAGTACTGATGACAATATTATTTTTTCGACATATAATATTTAACCAAATTAAAATAAGAAATATTGAAGAGCTTGTTAGGACATTAGATATTTCAGATTAATTTGTCTCCTTTTAATTATTTTCAGTCCTTTCTCCAAGATGATAACTATTTATGTAATGATCTTTAAAAACTTATCAGTTGTCACTATATCATTTCTTAAGCCCACACTTAATCCATGAAATTATATTTTCTTTTTAACATTTCTATAGTAGTAATACTATGACTTTGTGTATGAAACTTTATAATGTACCAATTACTTTTCCATGCATTCATCATCTTAGTTTATACTCATTAGCATTGTGACAGGAATAAAACCACTTAATATCCACATTCTATAAATGAGGAAATTAAGACTGAAATTACATGACTAGATCTTTGATGCCTGGGGTTTAATGTGATTTATTCTATTTATGTTTACTCTACTTTGTTAATATAATTTTTGATGAGAAAATATATCCTGCCCTTGGTGTGTACTAAGATGTATTATGATAGGCTATTCATATTGATCAAAATTATTTGGCATGCTTTACTAGAACATCAGCTGCTAAAGAGCCAGAAATTGAGTTTGATGCTTCCTTACTAGAAGAGAATGAGAACCTTCAGGCAAATGAGATTATGTGGAATAATTTAACAGCAGAAAGTTTGCAAGTAATGTAAGTATTTGGAAAGCCTGAACTGTATAAATAATACTACTTTTATTTTTAGTTGTGCATTCTGAGATTTAAAATCCCAATTTTTGTTTTTTGCCAGTAATGAAAAGTAAATTAAAAACAAACTGTTGTTTGGGCAGAATGAACTGTTTTAAGAAATACGTTAACTTTTACTTGTTATCCACTCATTCATTTTGGTAATTCCAAAAATCAAAATCTGTGTGATGTATTCATTCAGTTATTGCTAATATTTTATATTGGAATAATGTTTTATTCTTTTTAAAATTAAAAAAAAAATAACCCATTTCATCCTTAAAACTTATTGGCGGAACCATTTTGGAAATGAATGTTAGCAATAAGAGACTTGTAGATGTCAGCATCGTTTAGTACAAAAATTTGCCTTTTAAGTGAGTTCTCCTTAAGCAGAGATGTCCTCTATCATAGGCTGGTCAACCATCCCTTCTTTGCTTTGTTGCGACTGCATAACATTTTAAAGTTTTGTGTTTTTTAGTCCTTTTCAAATATTAAAGCCTGTAAATAGTACGTTTTTAAATCTAGAAAATATAATTAAGCCATTCTACTTTTAAATATTTAACCTATCTCTTGATTTTTTTCAGACACAACACAAAGAAACTTCTATCTCTTAATAAGCACTGTATGTGCTTGTTTCTGTCAGAACCACACCTAGAGATGACTATGCTCTCACTTGCTCTTTAACATTGGGCTTGTTAGATCACCTGACCTGTTGGAAAGGTTACCTCAAAAGAGTCAGCCACAAGTCCCCGTCTAATATATGTAAACAATCTCCTTTCTGTTGTTCTGTAACAGTGTTGCAGATAAGTAACTGAATGTTACGATCCCGGGACTAGCTCTTGGAAAGGGGTTTAGTGTCTTTAAAGCTGGCCTGATGCGATTGAGGAAACTAACAATGCGTGTGGAATCACCTGTGTAAAATGAAGGCTTGATAGTCGTTGTGGACTGACTGTCGGTGAGAAGAATGGAGGCTTGGGAGTACCCTGCGTTAGAAGGTTTTCCCTAGCAGTCATATCGGGATTCTTGAAGCTGTTTCCCAAGTTTTGAAGCCCGTCACAGTAGTTTCACTTTGGTTTTAGGTATATCATTACAGTGTCAGTTATCTCTAAACCAGTGCTCGCCCTGGGTGATTTTGTCCCCAAGGGAAATCTGGCAATACCTGGAGACATTTCTGTTTATCAGGTGGGAAAGTGTTACTTGTATCTAGTGGGTAGAAGCCATGGATGCTGTTGAACTTCCTGCAGTCACAGGACGGCTCCTACACGTGAAAGTGTCAGTAGTGTCCAGGTTGAGAAACTCTGCTCTAAACAGTAGAGCTGAATGAAGGTAGGGTTTCTCAATTCTTTTGACAAATTCCATTTCTTAATTCCTGTGCTGCTTGGTGAAGGAATATGACATAAATTACTCCTGTTTTAAAAATTATTACATTGCTCCCAAATAATTTATCCATTTATCAAAAATATATTTTCTCTGTATTTAAGGTTGCAAGGGTTAATACTTTCAAGGAGTTTACACTAAAATTGATCAATTTATTTTAATAAACATCAAGAAAGAATGAGCATATAGATATTGGAGTATAATGTGGTAAAATTAAAAATAACTACCTGTTATAAGCTTATATAAAATAAGAGATTTTGTAACCAAAGAAGAATTTGTTTTATTGCTATTCAGGGTATAATGAGAGCAAAACTAATTATGCTCATAAATCATTATTTCTTAATTATGATGATGAAGCAATGAACAAAAATGTAATAAATTAAAGATAATATATCTTTGATAATGTGATAGAAGATTTCCTTGCTTACATCTTACTAAGGCAGAACTTTAGCTACATTTCATTGAATAGTACCTAAATTTAGGATATGAGTTTAAGATTAGGTTTTCCTCAGGAATTTTATTCCAAGAATGAGTTATTCAGTGTGTCTGTTGGCACTGTCAAGATAATCTAAGGTAATTGCATCAAGATACATATATATATATATAACAATGCAAGAGGAAAATCTTTCTTTTAACATAATATTAGTGCTTTAAAGTAAAACTAATATAGGTTAGGGCAAAAATAGGTTTACAGTTGTTCATATGGAAAATCATACAATAATTAATAAACAATAATACAAGAATAAACTGTGTTTCATGTATTCACAACTGTACACCTTTGCCCCACCCTGTATCTTTTCTTCCCTGAGGCATTAATTTGTTAATTTTTTTGTTGGTAGTGTTGAAATATTATATCCAATAGAAATGAATGAAGCAAGCAAACAAATAGCTTGGGAAAAATAAATGCAAATGACCAATAATTAAAGAAATATATATATTTAAAAGAAGCTATTTCACCTCCCAGATTGGCAAGGATTCAATGATTTGATAATACCCAGTGTTGTGTAGGTTATGGAGGAATAAGCCCTCGTGAAGTCTTGGCAGAAATGAAAACTAGTATAACCTTTTTGGAGGATAATTTGGCCATATACATCAAAATTCAACTTACACATACACTCTGACTTAGAAATTCTACCTCTAGAACTTTAGCCTACAAGTATGCAAAGATATGTATGTTGGGTTACCTGGGTGTGAACCCTGACAGTACGGCTTATTACCTTTGTGAAACTGGACAGATTATTTAATTCCTTTATGCCTCATTTTTCTTAATTGTAAAATGGTAATAATAATGGCACCTAACTCATAGTGTTATGGTTCCATGCATGAGTAGACGTAGAATGCGTGGACTATTTCTTGGCACATAGTAAGTTCTATGTATTATTTTTTGTTTTATTACTACTTGGGGTGGTTTCATACATTAAGGACTATAAACACAATGTTTAGGTTTTACAGAGGCCTTTGGAAATATTTGATATCTGAAAATTTTTTGTTAGTTGCAAAATATGAAAAGAAAACTGCTATAAGGTATTCTATGTGACTTCATTAATTATTAAATTCAGTACACACAAAAATATTTCAAACAATTCGTGGGTTAAATTTTCTCACTTTTTAATATCTGCATATGAATGAGGGTTTCTGAGGAACCACTTTTTAATATATATGATATTATTTGAATAGAGGCTAAGGACGATAAAGGTCTCAAAACAGTCCTTTTATTTGAGCAAAACATTGGAAACAGTGTTTGGTTAAATGAATTATAGTATAGCCCTAGTTTTCCCACAATTTTTCCATTACGCAGGTTTTAAATACAATAAGCTAGGTTGACATGTATGCTTATGTGGAAAGATGTCCAAAATGTATGATAAAGAGCAAAACCAAATTACAGAATCGTATTTATGGAGCGAGTCTAGTAATAAAAAGTGGTACGTGTGTGTATGTTCATATGTACATAGACTATACCTTGAAATGGAGGTGAATGGATAGGGCAAGTGGAGAAGTATGTTGGGGCTAATATTTATAATGTTAAATAAATGTGGTTTTATTTCTCATTCTTTGAGTATTTTGTCAGCATGACTCTCTCCAGAATATTAGGTATTTATTTTTCTTTTCATTGTGTCATTCCTTTTATTAAGCATTTGTTTCTGAATCATATCGCTTTAAATAGTTTTAGAGTATAACTCTCCCAAAAGCTCTATTTGAAAATGTTCCTATTTTATGGTCTGTGCTTGCCTGTATTCTACATGTTTCCTTAGCTCATTTAAGATCTCTAATGCATTAATATCGAATAATATTAAGGAAAACTTCAGAAACATTTTCCCCTTTGTTTGCATTCCTTTATGTTTGTTTAAGGGATCGGTGACCACCCTGTCCATTGTGGAGAATCATTAATTTATGACTCCTGAAGAGTTTTTCTATAAATAGTGATACTGGCAATCTCCCAGGCTGCTGATTAGTAGTGACTATGAAACAGAGAAAATTGGACCACATTTCTCATGGACTCTTCAAAATTCTTGGCTAGATGTCAGATGTTGTGAATGATTAATTAACATCTTTGTTGAGTGAGTGAATGAAGACTGTTTTATGGAGAGTATTCAGGGGCTTTATGAATAGTGGATCTCATATCTGACTTTGTATTGGGATCACCTAGGGAGCTTTAAAACATGCTGATACCTGGGACCTACCCTAAAACAACTAAATCAGATTTTCTGAAGGTAAGATTGGGCATTGGAATTTTTGGTAAACTTTCCATGTGATTTTAATATGCAGACAGGATTGAAAATCTCTGCCATAGATCCACTAAAATTGTTTGTAGAAATGTGTATATTGCTTTCTGCAAATCTGTAGAGGGCTTCATGACCCAAAATGACTAAGGACTAATACTTACGTGAATATCTTATCTTTTATATTTAAAGAATGTCTTTTTTGTTAAACGTTTCTAATGAATTTATATTCCTCAAATTGTATAGCATTACTGTGGAAAACTAGCACTTTTACAATAGACTGACTAGATGACACCTTTTAATTTTTTTCTTTTTTATATTCTTAAATGTAGCATAAAATTGTTTTCATTAGCAGAAACTTACTCATAAATTTAATGTTTTATGTTCTTGGTTTCTGTTTATTGTGTTATGTAGAGTTTTCTCCAATAAATTTAAGAGGTTCTGAGATTATTACACAATTAGTATTTATATCCAAAACAAGATACAGTGTTGCTGCCTGCCCCTTTTCAGACTTGATGAAAATCTAGTCATATAATACTAAGTGACAAAGTTATTGCATTTACCATCTAAATATGTGCCACTCAGCATTTTATCATACTCTAATTATCTATGAACTATAGTTATAAAGGTTGCATATAAATATAGATATACACACACTCTTCTATACATAGAAAAGTTAAACTCAGTTATTTGTAGGATATTTTATTTTCTATTTATAGGAAATTATTTTGCTTGGTAGATCATGATTGTGATAAAGGGCTATTTCTGGGCCTCTGATAATTTCTAGCACTGGACACCTGAAAATGTATATTTCCCACTACACATGCACTCAGGTTGTATTATCTTCAGGCCTGAATCTGATCTTGCTTCCTT